TTTTAACCAGCACGCTCCAACGGCCGACATGATGACGATGAAAACAATGGCGCAAGCTACGAGATAATGATTAAGGCTATTAGAGCTACTCATATTGCTCCTTACACACACAAATCAATGAATGCTTCTAACAAAAAAAACTGGTACTGTTTTATATTTCTTTGTCTATGACAATTTTATATATAGTTCACCATTAGTATATTAATATGTAAATTTTTCTATATTGCCATTTTAATAGAAGTAAACTGTACATTAATAATATGTAAATTTTTATATATTGCCATTTAGAATAATGTACTATTATGATAAAAAAATAAAAATAGAAATTTACATATTATTAATGTACATTATTCTTTGCATTAGTAAGATATCCATAAAAGTTCTTATCAGTATAACAAGGATGAATTACACATTGGGTTAGATTGAGAACTAATGTTAAGTTACGATTTTTAATCAGAGAGTTTCTCATTACAAAATGTAAAAATAACTATTTTAATTTTCAGGTTTTTAAATATGTAATATTATGATACAAAATAATATCATATCAGTCTATGACACAAGCTTTGTCTTGGTTCTCTGAAAGTGCCTAGTTTTTTAATAACGACGATCGGATGGAATTAATCGCTGATAATAAATTACCAAAAGACAAATATACCCCTCGCGAAATCTGGGCCTTGCACAGATCCGAGACAGATCACTGGGCACGAATTCGATCCTCCATCATCATCTTCCTCTCTCGTGTTTGAAGACGCCGAGGAGCTTCATTGTCAATCTGTGAGATCTCTGACACTTTCTCCTCCTCTTTGGATTAGCCTTTTCTCTCTTTTTTCAATCGGATTGCCTCTGATCGCGTTGATTTTGCAACCTGAAATCAGTCGTAATTTATCGTCGCAGGATAATCTCGTAGGGATCAGGACCAGGCATGGCTTTTCTTGTCACATCCCTGATATTCGCTGTCGTCGGCATCATTGCTTCAATATGCACTAGAATCTGCTTCAACAAAGGCCCCTCCACGAATCTGTATGTTTGATTCCTCTTTTTTTGTTTGCTTCTTCTCGTTTGATTCCGTAATCATTCGCCGTCGGTATGTGTTTGATCGATTGCTTCGTCAAGGTTTAATGTGGGCATTTTGGTTATCCGGTCTCAATTGACTATAGCTCGAATGATTGTTTATCTCTTTCGATAATTGGTATACGAAATCTGCTCTCTTCTTCATTGACTTTTGGGGGAATCACCATACTTTGTATTTGAATTTGTTCCTTTCCTGGGATGTTTCTTCAATGTAAATAATAATTTACTGTCACAATTCTAACTCTTGTGCTGCAAAAAATGGTTGATGTTTTTTTTTTCTCTTTGTTTATGTAATTCCCTGCCGTGTTTAATCATCACACTTGATAACCATAGTTCGTCGGAGTATTTATCAAGTGTTTGTTTGTCTTTATGGAACAGGCTTCATCTTACCTTGGTCATAACGGCGACTGTCTGCTGTTGGCTCATGTAAGTTTCACTATTTTCCTTCTTCTACTAGCTACTCACTGGTTTGGACTTGCAGCCAGGTTTCCTCCTTTGTTTTGTATCTCTTGTTTGATCAACATTACCTATCAACAACCATCAACGTTTCTAGTTAGAGATCAGTCATGTATCTGTTTAAAACTTAGCATTCATGTAGGGAAAAAGTTCCAGACCATGAACATTCTTGGTGTCTGATCAGTGTCAAACTTGTTCCTATGTGTTGTGATCCTAAGGCTCTCTGTCGCTTTATTTTTGTTTTTGTGCTAGCCATTGCGCAAATGTCCTTTTAATTTGATTGATTCGGTATCTTATATCATTGCATCGTTTTTGTGTCTTCGTTTTGGCAGGTGGGCAATTGTATACATTGCGCAGATGAAGCCTCTCATTGTTCCTATCCTAAGCGAGGTAGAGTAGAAACCATCTACTCAGACAAGAACCCATGTTCTCAAACTAGGAAACCAATGCACAGACTTTGAGTAAGAACCTGGCTGCTCTTTCTGTATCTTCTTCAAACATATTCCGTTTTACCGTTTGTAATTCTTATCGCGGTGTGAAACAACAAAACTTTTCCTCTCTTTACCGTTGAATCTTTTGTCTCTCATTAAATTCTGAAACAGTCTTCATAATACTCAAAGACTATATACCAGAGAGTGAGTGTATTGTTTGATGAAATAAATCTTTGCAAGAATACTCAGCCAACTATTACCTTGTTGTTCTTCTACCCAGGAATTTTGGAGTTTTTTTTAATATCCTTGGCAAGTTTCTATAAAGTGGCAATAGTCCAAGCATGAACCGATTCGATCATGACAATGGCTGTCAAATTGTCTCAACTGGTCCTGTGTAATTCCATTGAAAAATGTAATCTCCAAAATTGTCTGATTTCTTTCATCCTAAAAAGTACAAACTTGAGTTTTGACATAAAAGTAAAACCACTCTTAACTACCATTACACAAAAAGAAAAACACTCTTTTTAACTATGAAAGACACTCTTAACTACCAATCTACCATTACACAAAAACAGGAAACGACGACGATTCCATCATCTCGCCTGAAACAATTGTATTGTATAGAATTCTTCTGCATTGCGACCTAAACACCGAGCAAATTGTGATTCTCTTCTTCTTCAACAATGTTGAATCGATGCTAGTTCTACTTTCAGAGTTCTGCTTTCGAAGTTTTGCATGTTACAGGAAGTAATCAGGCGCAGGTTTTTTGGCGGGAGGCCCTCTCGAGTCCTGCATTTACAGTGTATATCAGTCTACTGAACTGCTCATCAGGAATCAGAAGGATAAGTGACATATTACTAAAAGGGTCATACCTGCTGTGCTGCATCGAACACACGGAATTCTTTATTAAGATTCTCGTCGAGCTCTAGAATCGAAGCCACATTACCGCATCTGGAGCATGATCGAAATAGGAGTAAATGCAAAAATCAAGCTACAACGAAAGAATGACATATATAGAGTGAGATAGAAGGTTCTGAGTATCTTATTTACCTATAACAGTAATTTGGGGCTGACCACACTGTCACAATCTGGCTATCGAACATCCATTTGTAACCCTCCATAACGAGTTGATGAGCACGGCCTATGTAGTCGATGTTGTTTGCGTGGTTAAAAGACGTGACAACACTGCCGCCAAAAAGGAATCCGGCACCACGAGGACTCAATCCCCAGCCATCAACAATATCTTCAGGATCAGACCATAGAAGGTCACACATGGCACCATCATGTGGTACTTCCTGCTTCCGGTCAATCGTCCTAATCTGCCATAAATGTATGGGTTCGTCAGTTAACTCCTTCTAGTTGAAACTTGTGATTTATTATATCAGTAGAGAGAGAAGGCTCTTTTTATTAACCTGGTCAAGAGTCATTATAGCGGGAGAGAGACCACCATGAACACAGAATATCTTGTTCTCAACAACAGCTGAAAGACTTTTGTACACATAAAAAAAAACGGTTTAAGTAGTCGAATCATTCCAAAGTAAGAGAACCTCATGTACCTCATGAATCATTCCAAAGTAAGAGAAAACTGAACGTTTAAAGAAAGTGGAATGCGTGCTGTGAGTACCTCATGTAGTCAAAGATGTCGGTGCAGTATCTCCAGACATTTACAGAGCCATATTTACGCAGACACTCATCATAAAATCCATAAACCTACTAAAAGCAGACTGTGTAAATAGTCTGAATCTATATGTACACACAAAATCAGAATTTTCAATGAGACTGCATTCACCTGTGTGATTTGCCTGCTTTCGTGGTTTCCTCTGATGAGAGTTATACGGTCTGGATATCTAACCTGAGAATATCAAAGCAACCCCACTTAAGTGATTCTAAAACCCATCTAACAGAAGAGATTATGAAAAGAAACATGGACGGGAACAAAACAAAGTAAACACCAATTCGAGTGTTACCTTGAGCGCGAGTAGTAGTAGAAATGTCTCAACTGAGTAATATCCACGATCAACAAAATCTCCAAGAAACAAATAGTTGGTCTTAGGGCAATCACCCCCAACTTTGAAAAGCTCCATCATGTCGTAGAACTGCCCATGGATGTCACCACATAGCTATTCCAGTGAAAAAGAAAGAAACAATTCCATAGATTAGTAATTTGTGAGAATCTCAAGAACAGAAATGGCATCCACTATCTACTGTCACTTAACACGCTGCAACTTCACTGCCCTAGAAATCTTTGGACTTGCAAAATTTTGTTCATCGGATCCTATACATGATCACTACTTGACAGAACATTACGAACCAAGCTCGAAAAAGATATCAAAGGCAAAGGATCTGCTGAACATCAAAATTTCTCCGAGCCCAATTTCCTCAAGTTTCTTGATTTATGAGCTCCTAATTCTACTTTCAGGATAAAAGAAACCCGATTCTTTACAGATAAGTGGAGATGAAACATCGAATCCCAGATCGAGAAGTAGGGTAAGGCAAGAACTTACAGTGACAGGGGCATCGACTCTTTGAACATTACTCTCTTCAACGAGGATTTCCATGGCTTTGAGGCAAAGAGCCTTCACCTCCGATTCGCTCAATGGTTCGCAGCGCTTCAGCTGCTCAATCTGCCGGTCTAGGTCTGACATTTTCACCACCCTCTTCTTCCTCTTCCTTTTCCTCGCCGACCAAAGACTACTGAAACGATCCTCAATCTGATAAATCAGAAGAAATCAACCAATCGCTCGCCAAGAGTACTGCAAAATTCTCTACTAGAACAGTGGTTAGTTCGTCTTCTTCCTGGGAGAGCTTCTCTCCTCTCCGCAGGGGTATATTTCCACAGGTTTCTCTCTCCTTCGCTATATTTTAGATTATATTCAAAACCAACCCCACTTCTTTTCTGAAATTCTACATTCGGCCTGAATATTCTAAAATTATTTCCAAACCCATCCTTATGATGTGGCCCATTTATTAATCTTTATAAGGCCCAGCCCGCATAAAACGAAGCCACTTTCATAAAACTCCACGCGCATTACGAGCGGGTAAATGCGCACGCGCCCCACATCGGTGATCGGGGAATGGAGGAAAGTGATCGGCCAATTCAAAATTCGATCGGCGACGATGGAGAGAAACGTCGAGAAGATGCTGAACAGAGTATCGGTGGTCTTCATAATCATCGGAACAGCGATCATGGTGGTTATGATTCTCCAGACGCCGAAAACATGTATCCCACCAGAAGCTCCATCGAAACCCCATACGCATTTCCCGAGATCCACCTGCGATTCATCGCCTCGCCAGCATCTTCCTTTTCCCAAGAAGAACGCTCGCATGTGGTCCTCTAAGGCTTGGAAATCGCGTCTCTCCTCCTTCTCCTCCTATTTCCTCCGTTTCCGCGATCTAGGTTTCCTCAGCAATCACACCAAAGCTCTCTTCCTCTCCGCCGGCGCTGGCCACGCTCCGATGGCACTTTCCCAGATCGGAATAGCTGACATCACCGCCGTCGAATTGGTGGATTCGCTTCCTCTGGTGAGAAGAGCTGATCCTCACAACCTTCCCTATTTCGACGGTGCCTTCGATTTTGCCTTTACCGCACATTTATCTGAAGCTCTGTTTCCGTGGAGATTCGTGGAGGAGATGGAGAGGACGGTGCGCCGCGGCGGGTTTTGCGTGGTTGCGGTTGACGAATGCGGCGGAGACGATGTTAGGGACATTGCTAGGCTTTTCCCTAATTCGAAGGTCGTTGATGTTGCTAATGTAACCCTCGAAGGATCCAAAAGGACTAGTATACTCTTGAGAGTTCAAGACTCTCCGACATGAGTTGCTTCTCTCTTTTTTTTTTTTGCCTTCTTCTCTTTCACATGTTCTTGTTGTTTAGGATGGCTATGGAGCTAAAAATCTCAACTTTGTTACTTCTCTTTTATGTGAAATTTGAGTTGTGAGATTTGTCTGTTGGGTTTTGCTTCCAGTTTTGGTAAAACAAGAATAGCGTATTTGTGCAGGAGGATCCTAAAGATTATTGTTCAAAGACCAATACTTGTTTTGAATGCTAAAGCAACGTTGATGGAAGCTGCAATGTTTGTTGCGAATTCAAGATCCTCAACAAAAGCTTTCTAGAAGAGAATGTCTTCTCTTTTGAGAGAAGTTGAGAACTTTCAAGACTTTCTGAAGAGTTCAGTGGGATTGATAATGAATATTGTGTGAGTTGAGAAAATATCATTGATCATCTTGTATTCTACTGTTTTATAAAAAGTTAACAGTATAATAAGCAACTCAGCAACGCAACGATAATAACTAACACTGTAAAATTGCACTTAAATTGAAAATTACTTGAAAAAAGGTTGGTGGTACAAACAGAAACGCAACAAAACATTATTCCACATAGAAGCTTTTCTTAAGAGCTGAAACTTATACTTTACCTTACAGATTTGGACGAAAAAAGAAAGGGAACAAAAGATAGATCTCATAGGACCAATCCACACTACTTTATGCAGAAAGCTTCACATCGATCGATTATCAGCCTAAAACGGCTCGATCAATTAGTAGTAGGCTGTCTTGTCTTCATTGATACCGGCGTAGATCTTGGCGCAGTACTCGAACAAGCTGCCATCGAAACACCGCCTAACCGCTTCCTTTGACAAGAACCCTTCCTCATCCCTCGCTAGCAAGTACAACAATCCCCACTCTACTTTGGCTGCGAACCTAATACACAGAACATTATATTTACAACCACGTTAACACTTTACGTTCGATACATTCTTTCAACAAACTAACTAAAGGTTAATCAATGAAGGAGAGGGCTCATGTCGCAATTGTACCATCCGAAAAGGTCCCATGCATCACGTTGTCCTTCTGTCAGCTCCCATATTTCTCCAAGACTCAGCTTGTCTGGCAAGGTTTTCGCATATTTGCTAAATACCAACTCAAGATTCACCGGCATAAACCTGCGATACATAATATTTAAGGTAGTTATAGACCAATGCATCGTGAGTCGTGACCCGTATTTTCAGTATGGTACTGGCTGGGCCAACCCACCTCCCTTCATTGTCATATGTTCTTGAGTCGCTTCCATGCTTTGACTTGTGTATATTGTGTATATATATAGGGAAAAACGGCGAAGGTAACCATCCCTGCATTATCAAAGACCAACCACTAGCAAATTAATAACGATCTATATAGGCCCATCGGTCTCAATAATCATGAGTCTAGCTAGAGTATATGTTGGAGGAGGATGACAAGTGTGTTACCGGAAGAGTAGCATAGCTCATGGCTATGTTGATTACAGCGGCTACGATAAGCGACCCAACGATATTAAAACCAAGCATTCGCAGTCCTAATTAATCACAGATTGCAATCAAACTTTCATAAATATACTGATGAAAAACTTTAAACTCATGAAAGAGAGATATAAATATGTATATGTATATATAACCCATATATATACCAGAGTAGGTCTCCCAAGGGTAGATGATGCCATTATCATCTATGTCGAAGAAGGCGACATGTTGCTGAAGAACACTAAGCCCGTAATGCTTATGGCCCGGTGTTCCGTACGGGTGCTCTCTGTCTGGTGCTTGCAGTGCTCTTGGCATATCTATACATATCATTGTCATACATCATATATCACATATCCATCAACATATGATATATCAAATATGCATAGGCATACGTATGTTGGCAACACTTATGATGTTAATCAAGAGAATTAGGCGTTACAAGGTTTAGGAAGTCTATCATCCAAGTCAACACGAGCACGGCGATGAAAAGTGGCCGGAGCGCATGGAGCCACCGTAGCCATTGCGTCTCTCTCCATCATCTCCGTTGTCGTAGCCATCTCTCTCTCTCTCTCTCTCTCTCTCTCTCTCTCTCTAGATTGAGTGCAATGTGTGCGTCTGTGTGTTTTTCGAGTAAAGAAGGAATGATCTAATAGTAATGGTGATTGATGTGCGTGGCGTACATGCACGCGCCGAGGAATGCAGCGGTTGACATCTCTTTCCTTGTCTTTGACGCGCCTCTCTTTGCTCTCTTCCACTTTCTTACACTTGACATGACTCTCACGACACGTTTGTTTCCAATGCTTCATCACCTTTTCTCTTGTTTTGTCTGCTAAATCTGTAAATCTCAGACAAAACCATATATTCGGGCCTTTACGGGTTTCTGTTTGGGCCCAACTCTGAGTATTATATTAATATACCACCTGCTACTTGAGCGCGTGTTCCACACCCTCAGTTTTTGAAGAAGATTGAAGGGATAAAAGAAGAACAATTTCGAGCCCCCTGAATCCCTGATCACTGGGAAGTGGGAACTCCATCAGAATTAAATGTTTTATAAAACATGAAATTAATTGAGAAGTTCATAATTGTGATTCATTTTGTACGTATATATTTTACACTGTTTGTGGCTATCTGCATGATATAAATATAACCATTCAGGGAGCTTGCAAAAAACATTGGATTGAAATTTGGAAATTGAAATAAACAGCAGAATTCACACAATATGTTTGATTTGTACACTCGGTCTGAGCCTCAAAAGCTATATCACCAATCACAGTGTGATTGTGACCACAAACCATCACACGTCAACCCCAAGTTTAAACATGAAATTCAGTGACCGGCCGATGGATTTGTTAGCAACTCGAGTGACTTCTTCAGATGTTCTACAGCAGTCGAGACTTCATCGAAAGCCAAAGCTCCTACAGCGAATCTAGCAGCCTTGTGTGCCTCTGCAATCTTCTCTGGACCTGGCTGGTAGCTGCTGTCGTAATGGTACTTCTGAGCTGGACTCGGTGCAGGGTATAGCACGGGAGCAATGTTGACACGCCCGTTTGATGATGAATAAGGAGGAGGAGGAGCAGAGGCGAAGCTTGTTGAAGAAGGAGCAGGTGCGGAGTGTGGAGAAGAATAGTAAGGTTCAGGGTTTTGGTAGTGAGAAGGATAGTGGGGAGGAGTGGCTGGGAGGCTGCTCTCACTAAAGCTAGGGTAAGACTGGAAATTAGGGAGAGAGTTTGGAGAAGGCTCATGTGTTGGGTAGTTTTGTGGTGGCGGCGGCATGTGTTGTGGTGGCGGCTCTTGGTGGTATGATGGTTGATGGTTGTAAGGATGCGGGTAAGGAGAGTCTGATGGTCCAGTGGGAGGAGGAAGGAGATCGTTGGAAGGGTAAGAAGACGGTGGTGGAGGTGGGGCATCTGTGGAATAATCGTTGTTAGGATTGTCATGGAACCTGGGAGGTAGAGGATGTTGTGGCACTTCAGGGAAATGGTGGTGACCAGAGTCATCATTTGAGTCATGGGATGGATCAGACTCTGTTCTATGATGACTTTGTATGTTGGTATCAGTTGCACCGAGATCCTGAAATGCACAAACGATGAATCGATTAAGTTGATGCAGATGTTCATATGCAGGTTGGGTGTGGATTTGTGTATCTCTAGATTTTGATGAGCATGACGCAAATCCTATAAACACATTCCTCGACACTCTCACGCTACGCTAACATGTAGATATTCCCAAACCAAAATCGCCAAAGTAGAGAAACTTACAAAGGAGCCACTAGGACCGCTTGATGGGATAGATGAATCAGTTTCATCATCAACAGGATCACCTGGAGTGGGCTTCCTCCCTTCTTTAATGGCTTTCCTTATGTCAGCAGCCTTCCAAGCAGCATACTTCTGTTTCTGCTCTATCTGTCCATGGAATCCATTACATGCAAACATAAACAACCAATCTCACACAACAGCTGCCTCTTAGATTCTGTTTTGAAATTGTAAAGTGAATGGAGAAGACGAAACTTACATCAGGAGGAACAGGGCCAAACTGGCCCAGAATTTCAAAGAATATGCTGGCGGCATAAAAAGTTTTGGCAGTGCTCCTGTCACCAAGCTCAACAAAATTAATTCTGATAAATCCATCACAAGCTTCTGTAAAGGAGTCACATGAATGCAGATCCTAACAGTTCTAAATTATAACAGTAATTGAACTATCATCAATATGATAAACAGACATCAGACAAAAATAAATAAAGAAGTATTTTTACAAGTCTGCTCTTCCAGCACGATCCTGCTTGTCTGCCTTTGCAAAGACATTAAGTGCAAACCCTTCCACATGCATATTGTCATCTGAGGCCAGGTTCAATGATTTCTTATCCTGGAGTTACACAAAAATATCGCCGTTAGAAACTGGAAAGTCAAGAGATTGCATCATGACGTTTGACGCAATACGATCATAGATGTTACATATAGATAAGAGCGCATGACAACCAAAGTCAAAACAGATGACGAGAATTACTAAGAATCACTTAGCAAAACTAAGTCAGATGAAATAAATCTCACAATTAAGAGCTTCAAGGTAATACCTTTTCCAGTTGATTAATGAGAGACATGAGAATCGAATTTGTGGTCTTAGTTCTCTCGCTCGACGGAATCTTCAATCCCCGTTCCATGGCGTATAGTCGACCTAATTAAATCATCGGCACAACCATAAATTTGCGAAGATACAGTTAACAAAATTCAAAACCCACCAAAATTAATCACGGATAAATCACAAATCCATGTAGTATGCAATCACATGGACGCGATCATATCAGTTCACCTAAAAAAACCAATCATCTAGGATTTTACTTGAAAGAGAGAGAAGAGAACCCAAACTTACAGTAATAAGCAACAAGTGGTTCATGCTTCTGCAGCTCGTCGGCGCGTTGCAGGTAAGGTAGAAGAGTCTTCGCTGGTTCGTTTGGGTTCGACATGGATTCTCTCTCTCTTGCCGAGCTTCGTAGTTTTTCTCCGATTTGTAAATAGACAATTAAGGAAAGAACTTTTCCTATTAGTATATTTGTACCGTACGCGCTTGTGACTGTGTAATACAAAACGATGTCGTCCAACATGTCCTAATCCAAACCTGTCTTGGAAAATCCCCGCGAAGTTACAGCTCAAGTCTCAACCTTTTTCAATTGTGAAGTTACACCAAAACATCTATAAGCATATTACGATTTTGCAACTAACATAAATGCATAACTCCAATTAAAATCCTAACCTTTCTTCATTAAACCAGTCGCTTCACATAGTCAGGCTTAGAAAAAAGTTTGAGCCAATGATACAGAGACATTAAAATTTAAGTAACATTCTCTACTCTCAGTGTCTTGTCTTGTTTCTAAAGTGTTCTTTCATAGAAGACATTTCTCATTCCCTAATAGCAGCTAACAAAAGTGTCAAGTAAGCATTTCAACTCTCTCTCTATCTCTCTCCCCTTTGATATTCTCACGGTGAAGCCAGAACTGAATCAGCACAAGGGACTGGAGATGCAGCATCCTCTTTCGAATTGGCTACAAGGTTAGAAGGCGAAGCTTGCTTGTTGAGACTGTCTCTTTTGGACTTGCTTCCGTTCTGGCTTGAGTTCATAGATAAACGCCGGATAGGAGTTTCGTTGAGCCCTCCTCCGTTAGCTCGTGTTCCCACCGGTTTCTTGGCACTGACCGGTCTTGCAGGGCTCGGTTTAGACCCAAAGGCTGAGTCTTGATCTGTGTGTGGCTGTTCTTGCTGCTTCTTCTGTTCCTGTATATTAAACCAAACAAAGACCAGATTAGTTTAAAAAATTAGGTTCCACAACCAAAAGACTACAATATGAGAAACTCACCTTCAGTCTCCGCTTCTCCTCTTCTCGTTCTTGCCTAAGCATAGTGTATTCGTCTAGCATGGCGAGCAGAGGAACACCATCATACTCAAAGTACATACTGTTATCCTCTTCCCATGCCCGGGTTTTAGCAACCAATGTGTCAACCATTGCTTGTACAATCAAAAGATCACAAATCTATCAGTCTCAGCTTGATTCAATGTGAAAAGATGAAGAGGGAGTCTTGGAAAGTTACCAGTAATCTTGCTGACCAGAATCCGGGCTTTCTCAGCTCTCTTGAGATTCAAATGCGCACCTCGGCTTGCACTATACCTGTTCTGGTCCTGTTTTCAAGAACAAAGTCAAAAAGAACCATCACATTTGAAACCTACGTCTTAAAAGTAATGTGATTGACATTGATATGATCCTCTCAGCCATTTACCCGATTGTAGTCTTCGAGCCAGCTCTCTTCCTCACAGGCTGACATCCATTTCTCGACTCGGTCCAATATTTCTTTTCTACTAAAGGCTTCTTCCTTGGCCTTTGCGATCTGGCTGTCCATGTCAGCCAGTAGCTCAGCAGGCTCAGTGTTTCCAGCATCAATCAACGACATGATCCTCTCACGTACAACCTCCGGTTTTATCTCTATGTGAGCACGAGCATATATCTCCTCAAGCTCGGATTGTTTCTTGAATGCAATCTCCTTCATTCTGCTAGCTTTCAGTTGGTCAAGCCTATCCACTTCCACCTCAGCCTTCACAAGTTTACAGGAGTTTTTTTAAAAGCAGTTACTTATCATATGCATTGGTTGATACTTCACAATATTTACAATACCTGCTCGATCAGATCAAGTGCGAGAGCACCAGAGACGGTCACTTCATGAACTGAAGCTGAAATGTTACATGTAACATGGTCAAAAAGCTCCCTTTCCTCATCAGGAGTATCCATCAGATTCCACAAATCAGTCAGCTGAGTAGCTAGCTCTTGAAGCTGCACAAAACCAAGATTAAATTATTGAAATCCACAAACAGGAATTGCAGTGAAAAGAGTTCCAACTTTCAGCACAAATAATCAAACTGCAAATTTTCCCACCAGTTCGATATCCAATAGTTGCAATTGATCAAAAAAAAAAAATTAACATATGTCCAGCCTAAACTAACTAAGCTCATGTTAGAGATCTCAAAGACCATGATTCTGACTTACCTTTTTAAGTCTTTGCATCTTATCCTCTTTAAGAGTCAAGACAGTCTTAGCCAACCTTGAAAGTGTCTCATTGCTAATGCTCTTGGTTTGAACACCATTTGCCTCATCTAAGCTCGGATGAACTTCAGTGACAGTGCTTAAGAAATCTAAACCAAGGACGGCACACAGATCATGCACCGTGCTCACAAACTCGAGAACCTTGTGCAACCTATTACTCTGTCCAAACAAAAAGCAGCTTTAGTTATGGTCTGAAAACAAACATACAGGACACAGATCACCATATCCCAACTGATATTTTTACCTTTTCTTTCTGGAGCTCTTGGAGTTTGCTTTTGTAGTCATCTAACCTCTTCAGGGACAAATCAGACTCGTCGACCACATGAGGCCCGTTGTTCAATCCTCCAGCTATCTCTTCACAGATCTTCTGAATCTGTGATTGTACATTAGAAAACTCCCTAACCCTTTCCTCTTTCTGTTGCCAAAGTTGTTCAAGCGCAGGTGCTATTGCAGAAAGCTGTTCTTTGATCGTTCCTGAAGTCTTATCTGGCTGCAATGAGACAAAAAAAGACACACCAAATCACTCTGTAATCTCATCTCATCTCATATTTTTCAACATTTACACGTGAGAACACTTACAATGCCGATATAGCTTTTGTCCCCAAGAGCAGTTATGAGATTGGAAAGTTCAACGTTGGCATCCGACAAGGTCTGAAGAAGCTCTGCGCGAGATTTTGCGGCCAGCTCAACCTTCTTTTTGTAAACATTAAGACACTCTTCCTCTATCTGTAGAAGCAGTTTGTCTCGTTCCTCATCACTCTCACCAACTTCATCCCAGATTTCCTGTAGAAGAAAGTTTGTCTAATGAGTTCGTGGAACCATACTTCACTAAGTGTCTTAAGTGTGTTCTGCGAAATTACCTGCAACTTCTGCAGTAAAGTGCCACAAGTGATTTCTCCAAGAAGAGGATTTTCTGCTTCTGTCACAGCCATTCTTGTGAAATCAGAAGATTTCCTGTAGAAAGAGAAACACAGAAGATTTTTGGTGAGAACTGAACTAAGACTACAGCAACGAAACTAAAGTTACAATTTTTCCGGAAACTAAATTGATTCAGATACAGTACTTTGAACTTCAGAACAAAACTTTTTCTTAAAAAACAAGACCTAAAAAGCAAGCATGGTGAAGCTAAGAATGTGAGACTAAAATAAGATGAAGCGCAAACAGAGCTCTACTTAGGAGTTAGGAGATAGAGATATATGTATCTGTCACAGACACGAACACGGAACTTCACAGGAATCGAACAGCATTGGTGATAAGAACAAATGAAGAAGCCAACAATCAAGAAGGAAAGAGATAGTGCACAGAAACTAATCGAGTCCAACAGTAAAGATTGTTTTCACTACCGAGATCAATATTGGATCCAAGGGTTTATCTGGGTTTTTCTCCTCTTCTCTCCTAGATCTGAAGCTCTCTGGCGAATAGTTACTGCTAAGAGAGAGAGAGAGAGAGAGCTCAATAGCATAGGAAACAGAGAAATCTCTCTAACCATGGTTATGGAGGTTGGGAACAGTGAAAAATGGGACCCACTTGGCGACACGGAACTCAATAATTAATCAACAAAACAACAACAAAAAGTGACCCTCTGTTTCTGCGTTATTTACTGATGTGACCACTGATCACAGAGCTCACTCATTGACTCATGTTCATGTCTGTTACTCTGCTGTGTCTTACTATTGAGATAGTCTTACTACAAAGTCCTTTATGGGCTTAAATATCCGACCCAGCCCAAACAGTATTTAAGACACGTGTCCGTTCGTTACGCGTGTACGTGACTCTCCACCCGCTACTTGGCAGAATAAAATTGAGATAGTCTTACTACAAAGGCCTTATGGGCTTAAATATCCGACCAGCCCAAACACACGTGTCGTTCATTACGGGTGTAAACGTGACTCTCCACCCAGAGTAGCGGCATGAATAGTTTATTTTTGTTCTGTCTTCTGATTCGGCAAACTCATGGAACCTGACCGGTAAGTGCTCATCCACCACCTTCCTCCTCCTCTCTTCTTTGCTCACCTTTGAGATTCTTCTCATTTCCCTCTTAATTAGGGTTTCTTTTCTGAAATCTCATCATCCTGACACGATTCATTGATCCAGAAGCCTGACTTTCTGTAAGTTCTGGTTCTCTTGATCCGTTTTGTCACCCTCTGATTCTGTCTGAATCTGTGGGATTTTAATATGGTCATCTCGTTGTGGTTTGATAAGTCATTTAAATTATTAGGCTTACACATTCAATATAAATCATATGATGATGCTTGTAACTCAAGTAATCTCAGATGATTAAGATATTAGCTCGAGTTATGGTTGAAAATTTGAAATCCTGAAATTATAGATCAAACCCAGAAGAAAAGGAAGAGTGTTTTTAAATTTTGTTTCTCCCAGATATATTAGAAGCGTAGATCATCATGATTCACTGAGTTTGAAGAACCTAATCCAGGAACTGAGCATTAAAAGCATATCCTAGGGATCTAGATGGCAATGGAGAAAGATCCCAATCCGAATTCTCCACGAATCAGAAAGCTAAGGGATAATAACAGTTATCCAAACACACCAACGTCTCGAATGAGTAATAATAACCAGAGAGATAACCATTATCACAACATTCCCAATTCACCAAGGGATTACAATTATACTCCTAGCTCTCCAACAGCTCGCATTCGCCACCGTAGGCGATCTAACGAGGTATAATAAATTATAAATATTGTCTTTGAAATTTTCGATTAGATGTTCTTCATTTGTCTCTTCAATATCTGGGAGTGTTTTGTCATCAGATTCCAGCTGAGGTGAACAGAAGCAATGTAAGCAATGTACGCAACCTGTTACTTGGTGATAAGAACAAGTACAGATCAATGTGGATAAGGACGTGCTCGTCTCTCTGGATGCTCGGAGGAGTTGTGTTTATAATCTACATGGGCCATCTCTACATCTGGGCTATGGTTGTGGGTATACAGATATTCATGGCCAGAGAGCTCTTCTTCCTTCTCAGAAGAACTCACGAAGAGCGTCGTTTACCTGGTTTCAGGCTCTTGAACTGGCACTTCTTCTTCACCGCTATGCTGTTCGTCTATGGACGAATACTTCAACAGCAGCTGGTGAACACTGTTTCTTCAGACAGATTCATCTACAAGCTTGTTAGTGGTCTGATCAAGTACCAGATGGTCATTTGCTACTTCTTGTACATTGCAGGTTTGTTGTGTCTTTATTACTTCATCTTCACCAATATCACCCTCTTCCTGAATTTATTGATAGCTTAATTGCGAATTCAGGTTTCATGTGGTTTATCCTTACCTTGAAGAAGAAGATGTATAAGTATCAGTTTGGGCAATACGCTTGGACGCATATGATCCTCATCGTTGTGTTTACTCAGTCTTCTTTCACCGTCGCCAATATTTTCGAAGGGATCATCTGGTAAAACGAGCTTTATATCCACTGGAACATGTCGTTTTTTTCCCATGGTTCTAACTTCTTTCTTAAAATGGATAATTATGCAGGTTTCTTCTTCCAGCTGCGCTTATTGCTATGAACGATGTAGCGGCTTATTTCTTCGGTTTCTATTTCGGGAAAACTCCGCTCATCAAGCTGTCTCCAAAGAAAACATGGGAAGGTTTCATCGGAGCCTCTGTGGCAACCATAATCTCTGCGTTTTTTGTAAGAATCATCTTCAATGATTTGATACATTTATAACCCTTTACTTTGGTCTCAAGACTGATACATTATTTGCTTCTTACAACAGTTTGCAAAACTCTTAGGCCAGTTCCAATGGCTTACATGTCCAAGGAAGGTAATAGAAATAAAAATTCCATAACGATGTCTTATCGCAGCCTTTACTTCATTCGTCATGCTGCATCTTTTGCAGGATTTATCGACTGGTTGGCTTCATTGTGATCCAGGCCCTCTGTTCAGACCAGAGTATTACTCATTGCCCTCTTGGATTGCTCCATTTGTAAGCAGTTAATTACATTCTCTTGTAAACCAGCCAATGTTGGTGTCTTGTGTAAGTCTTGGTTTTGAAACTGAACTCATGAGACTTGCTTGACAGTCTCCATGGAAAGAGATCTCGATTCTACCCGTGCAATGGCACGCTTTCCCTCTCGGCCTATTCGCATCTGTTATAGCACCTTTTGGTGGTTTCTTTGCAAGCGGTTTCAAAAGAGCTTTCAAGATCAAGGTTAGGCATTCTCAAACATTCAAGAGTTTTGTGTATCCATGGATCCAATAAAACGAATCTTTACCTGGTTTTATTATGGCTTTGACAGGATTTCGGAGACAGCATACCGGGACATGGAGGATTTACTGACAGAATGGATTGCCAAGTAAGAGCTATACTAATTAATACAAAATGTTTTATGTGCAGTTGCAATATGATCTCTTCATTGTTCTAAATTCAGATGGTTATGGCGGTTTTCGCATACATCTACATCCAATCGTTCATTGTTCATCAGGACTACAGTGTAGAGATGATCCTAGACCACGTAAGAATCAATCATCGTCACTCACTTCAAGATCATTTAAAGACGCTGTACATAATTTATATCTTTGATTGTATTGAACCTGCAGATATCGAGGAGTCTAGGACATGAAGAGCAGAAAATGCTTTATGTAAAGCTCGGAGACATTCTTCGACACAAACTGCAGGGTGGCTTTTAAGAAGAAGAAAGTGAATGTAGGTTTTGTGACTCTGTTTTCAGTTTCTGTCCTTTTCGCTAGTTTTTGTTTGTATCAAACAATGTAAAAACCTGAATCTGTGTCTTATTAACTTATCGAAAAGACTTGGTAAAGTGCGTGTAGAAGAACTGTAACTTTCTCTCGTGTAAGGCAAGTTTGGAGAAGCTTCAATGAAAGATTCATGAAGATAAATAAAACAGACACAGAAGCAAGACTTGATTCCCATGCAACTTATGGGAGATCTTGTTCATCCAATGAATATCCAAACGACAAGAGAAAACTTGAGAATATGTTTAATTAAGTTACTCAAAACGAAGAACAGAGCAAAATTTATGAAAACTAGCTGACTTCTGTTTAAGCATCAGACTCTTTCTTGTCTTCTTCGTTCTCTCCTCCTTGAGTAACACCAACCTCCGCTGGTCTTATAACTCGATCATACAACGTGTATCCGGACTGTAGATATCGCGAAACCCATCGTTATTAAATTGGTGTTAAGACTGTAGAATGTGGAACAGAGAGAGAGACAAATAAAAGAGCAAGTTTTATATATTTACCTTCAACACATGAGCAACTGTGCCTTCTGGTTTAGACGCATCAGGGACTTGGAACACTGCGTTATGTCTGTTCGGATCGAATGGCTCGTTCACAGGATCATACTTCTCCATACCAAATTTCTTAAATACCTGCAGCAGCACACAGGTTTTAATCCGTCTCATGTCTTATAACTACATCTTTTTGACAGAATAATGGTAACGTATTTACCTCAGCAAGCTGCTTCTCAGTCATTTCCACACCTTCTAAAAGGGTCTTCAAAAGTGGAGCAGCTCCAGCGGAATCTTTCGAAGTGTCAAGCTTTGAGAAGCTTTCTTTGACAACCGAAGAAGCTCTTCCAAGATTATCCGCCACATCCAAAAGGCTCTTTGCAAAATTCTGCAGATACATATACATATATTCTCTCAGCGAACTATCATAATGATGCAAAAGCTGCAAACCGAGTTCTCGTAGACAGTAGACTAACCTGTATGGCATACTTTTTGGTGTTTTCAGCTTCACGTCTTGTTCTGTCCATGACATTCTCCATCTCTGCGTAAGTGCGAAGAACTTTATCTTTCATTTGCTTAATCTCTTCCTCCTTGCCAGACAGTAGCTCTTCCTTCTCAGCTACGAGCTTCATCAAATCATCCATTGACAACTCCTCATCATCATCACTGCTCTCGGAGTCTGTATCAGAAACTGCAGCTCGTTTAGCACCTTTCCGTCTTCTCTGCGCAGAATCAGTCACAGAATCTTTGGATTCCGAGTCAGGAGCTGATTCATTTGCCTCAGCTGTAGCTTTCTCTTCCCTTGTCTTTGAGGCCTCAGTGTTGCTCTCTTTTTCATTTGATTTGGACGAGGTAGAGGAAGAAAAAGAGAATCTTCCAAGTGAAAACGAATCAGATAAGACCTGAGCTGCGAGAAGCTGCTCATAAAAAAGATGCTGAATGAGTGAATCTCAGTTCATCAATTGTCACTGAAATGACACAGAGCAAAAGGCCTATAGAGAATCTAAGGCAAGAGTGAGAGAGTGCATCTAGTCATTTATACATCCATCCGAACAAACATATGAGATCAAAGAACAGAGTATAAGAACGCAGCTATCATTTCTAAAAGAACGTTAGATTTCGAAAAGTAGATATACACTGGATTGATATCAATTTGGGGAACCCTTAAACCCAAACAAAACCCTGAATCGAAATTTGGCACGAAAAATGATATAATTTGGGTAAAAATCTAACCTTGTGAGAGAAGTCGGGAACGACAGAGTGAAACCGGCTCGAGAAGATAGGAGCCTTGTTCCTCACCGGAAGAGCAACGGCGGCGAGAGAGGAGCTTAAGCCCGCGCTGCGAGAAAGTCGCGACAAAATTCTCGAAACCAACATCAGGAAATGCACACAGAAAAACAATCAGAGATGAAGACGAGAATCGAATCGAAGGTTAATATTTGAGGAAATTGCTTGTTTCCAGAGGCAGAGAGAGAGAGAGAGAAGCGTAGAGGGGAGAAGAGAGTTCTTCTCTCTTTGGGTTTGTTTACGTAAATACCCTCACCGATGCACGACTGTCTATCTGCGGTTGTGAGGGTATAATCGTCAACATAGCAACTCGGAGATTTGAGAACCCTCTAGACTCAAAGGCACTCTCGTCCTTGTAACCCTGTAACGTTTTCTTTCATCGCCTGTGAACGATTGTACAAATTTACATTGTATAATGATTAGACTTGTACCATCGGCTAACTCAGCAGCAAGTACGGATGTCACTGGAAACGTATGGCCCAGCTTTTTCTTTCTTCCCTTTTGCCTTTGACTTCCCTCGATGTTGATTGTGGAACGTTTCATACTGAATGATCACAAACTTTCATAGTGAAAGGGACGAACATACACTAACGAACGTTCCTCTTAGTGTATGTTCTGGAAACTGGCTCGTGTTGTTTGTCTTTCGCAGTCCCATACATGTTACCACAAGTTTGATGATCTTGGATCCTTAATTATTTGTTTAAGTATTTTAAAGTACAAAAATGTCATTGCCCATTAGCATTAAACCGTAACATAATATAGAATCACTATTAGTTGGAGGAATAGTAACAAACCAATTTTGTTAATTAAAATTGCTGAAATTATTAATTATAGTGGTTGTGTGGTTCTGACTTCTTGCATGGGAGAATGTGAAAATTAATGTTCAGCTAACTTATCAATAATTCAACAACTAGATGTTTCAGAACACTCTTACTTGTATTAGTATTATTTTTATCCATTCAAAACCAAACGTGTGGTTTTTGAGATTAGTTTTATCATTAGTAATTGGTATAAAAATCTATGTAGCTTCAGGGAAAAGAAAATGTTTTTTAGAAAGTTTTGCAAAATCAGGAATATGATGAAACTTCAGTTGAATAAAAAAACCAAAGTAACTTTATCGCCAATGTCACATTTGACGCATGAGACACTTTCTTGCCGTTACTTGTTATTGTCGCTGCAACAACCAAACACTATGGTTGAACTAAAAAGCCCCAAAACGTGCAACATAGATTACAAAAGTATCCATAACGTTAAATGAATCAAACTCCATTGAATGTCTAAGCTTTCTTGCCAAGTGCACAAACAAAAAAAAAAGAAGTCCAGAACAGAGAGTAGAGATTCGTGCGTGAAACCGGTAAAAGGAAGATGCGTTACAAATCGAAGCTTGCAAGAGTATGAATCCTTCTACTTCAAGTAATTCTGACATGACACTCTATTCTAGTAAGTTATTAATAAGGCTCTTTGCTGAAAACTATTAATGAGAGACTCGTCATTTTCGTCTCATTACTCACCTCAACTAACTCCAGACCAATCTCTGTGGCCACAACTAAGCAGAGACGAAACAGATTAAGGATATTTAATAAGCATCATCTAACAAAGGGGCCAAGCTATTAAGTACAAGAGCGACATCTGTTTTGAGCCAGGTTCAATAGCAAAGTACAATATCTTTTTCCCAAGTAAATGCTTGCTCAATGTTGTTCTTCCCAATCACTTGTCAAATGTCTTGTCTGCAGAATCCCACAACAAAACAAAAAAAAGTTGGAAACAACTTGTGGAAAAGCATGCTGCGAAACAGAGTTCTTGCGTTCTTGCTCCTCGCAGCTCAGCTCTTGGAGCAGATACCTGGAACGGGTGCGAAAGTTCCTGCGCTTATCGTATTTGGGGATTCAACTGTGGATTCAGGCAACAACAACCAGATTTCCACGGTTCTAAAGAGTAACTTCCAGCCGTATGGCCGGGATTACTTTGACGGCAAAGCGACAGGGAGATTCTCAAATGGTCGGATCGCTCCAGATTTCATTTCCGAAGGCTTAGGACTCAAGAACGCGGTCCCTGCGTACCTAGATCCAGCATACGACATCACAGACTTTGCCACTGGTGTCTGTTTCGCTTCAGCTGGAACCGGCTTAGACAATGCAACCTCTGCTGTGTTAGTAAGTCGTCAAGCATATATAGTTTCACATCTTATGAATTGATTATTATGCTAAAAACTGACATATGGTTTCTTTGGAATGTCATCGATTTATGAAGTCTGTGATGCCGCTTTGGAAGGAAGTGGAGTACTACAAAGAATACCAAACAAGGCTAAGAAGCTACTTGGGTGAAGAGAAAGCTAGTGAGGTTATTGGGGAAGCACTTTACCTGATTAGCATCGGAACCAACGATTTCCTGGAGAATTACTATCTTGTTCCCCGCAAGTTAAGGCAGTACTCTGTTGATGAGTACCAGAACTTCTTGATAAGAATCGCTGGAGATTTCTTGACAGATATATACAGACTCGGAGCTCGTAAGATGTCTTTCTCGGGACTCACTCCTTTTGGATGCTTGCCCTTGGAAAGAACAACACAGATCTTTTATGGAAGCAAATGTATCGAAGAATACAACATTGTGGCTAGAGACTTCAACGCTAAAATGGATGAGAAAGTCTCCAGGTTGAACAGAGACCTGAACGGACTCCAGCTGGTGTTTTCAAATCCGTATGATCTTGTTTCGGATATCATAAACCATCCTGAAACATTCGGTTAGTACAAAAGTTCTAACAAAAAAGCATATAGACCAGCTCTTTAAATCAAGAATTGCTCTGATGAATGTTGCAAATTTGCATCACAGGTTTCGAAAATGTAAGGAGTGCATGCTGCGGAACGGGATACTATGAGATGAGCTACTTGTGTGATAAAATGAACCCTTTCACATGTTCTGATGCAAGCAAATATGTGTTTTGGGACTCATTTCACCCAACGGAGAAGACAAGCGGCATCGTAGCAAGCTATGTTCTGAAGCACGACTTATCTCGGTTTCAGTGATAAATAAGAAGAATTTATCATATAATCATAACCCCAAGTAGAATATGTTTACATACTACATTCTTTCTTCTACCCTTTTCTGTATTTGTTGACAATATATCTGTAACCAATGTCCAGTCCAGTTTCTTGTAAAAGAACCATTTTTTTTCTTAGTTCATGTTCATATAACTACTTAAAAATGATAATGTGATGTTATAAAGATGGATGAGATCAAAGTGAAAGAAATTTGCACAAATGGAGTTGAATTGCCAGGGAGTAACATATCTCAATTGGTACCACCATCACATCCCATAAGACAGAAGAAATGAAATCTCCAACATTTAACAATTAAGTGACAAGGTGAAGCAGAGAGTATCTGGAAAAACTTCAAATCAGGTTCAGATCGAGTTTAGGATTATGTACCAGTACAACCTTCCACACGTCGAAGGATTTGAAGTAGCAGAAGTGCCTTTTGAATTTTCAATGTTCAAACCCAATGAACACGAAGAGGAAATCAAAGAATCACTAAGAGAGATGTAAGTAGAATAAAAGAGGAGTGAGAGAATAACAAATTCAACTGGCCGGAGTGTCGGACGATGTCATGACTAGGAGAAAAAAAAACTGAATCGAATTTGTGCAATCCCGGTTTGGTTTCTAGAAAACCGTTTTGGTTATTATAATGTCTATTCGGGTTCGAGTATAAACCAAAAACCTATAAACCTCCTATAAACCTCGACCAACCCGGTTAGAGGTTTATTTCTGTCTTCTAGCGCCCTTCTCTGTCTCAACTCTCAGTTCTCTCAAACACCTCTCACAATGTGTCCTCGTAGGGTTTAGGGTTTATGGTCGAACAATTCCCGAGACGGAATTTGGGAACGAACCCAAATCAAGCTGAAGGAAAGTCGATTGGATGCGGTGGTCGGTTGCGGCTGCGATTTCGTCGACGGCCAAGGGGTTTCTTCATCGGCAATTCCTGAAGAAGCGTGTTGCTCCTTCGTTTAGACTCTGCGGTTTCCGCTTCTGGGTTCGATCATTTTCTGGTGCTACTCACTATCGAGAGATTCTGAGAAGCGGGCTTCAGGATATCGAGTACAATGAGGCTGTTGATTTGTTCTTTCACATGGCTGAGTTTCGTCCCCTCCCTAACATCGTTGAATTCAACAAAGTATTGACTGTCGTTGCCAAGATGAAGAGGTATGATGTTGTGATCACTCTCTGGAACTCTCTGGAAGATGTGGAAATCACACCTGATATCTACACCTGCAACATTCTACTCAACTGTTTCTGCCGCTGCTCTCAGCCTTGCTTTGCCTTGTCTTATTTTGGGAAAATGATGAAACTTGGTATTGATCCCGACGTGGTGACGGGGGGATCTCTGGTCAATGGACTCTTCCACATGAATAGAAGCGAGGATGCTCTTTACGCGGCTGATCAAATGGTGAAAATGGGAATTGCCTTTAACGCTGTAGTCTACACCATACTCATTGATAATCTTTGCAAAAGCAGACGTTTGGTTGACGCCATGGAGATTTTCAAGCGTATGGGGAAGAAAAGGATCACACCGAATGTTGTTACCTACAGCGTTCTCATCAGTGGCCTTTGTAATTCCGGCAAACTGAGTGAAGCCTCTCAGCTGCTGCGCGATATGGCCTCCAGGAAAATCTACCCCAACGTAGTCACTTTCAGTGCGTTGATCCATGCTTATATGAAAGATGGGATGCTTGTGGAGGCTAGTGGTGTGCACAAGGAGATGATCCAAATGTCTATAGAACCGAATGTTTTCACTTACAGCGCACTGATCAACGGGCATTGCATCCACGATCGTGTAGATACGGCGAGACAGATTCTCGACACGATGATAAGCAAAGGGTGCGCCCCAAATGTGGTGACTTACTCTACTCTTGCAAATGGATATTTCAAGTCGAACAGGGTAGAGGAAGGGAGTAGGCTTCTCTACGAGATGTCTGAAAGGGGAGTGGCCGATAACGTAGTCTCTTGCAACACTCTTATCCAGGGGTTTCTACAAGCAGGCCACATCGATCTTGCCCTAGATTATTTTTTAATAAAGATGCCTTCTTTAGGTCTGCCTCCCAATATCAGGAGCTACAGCATTTTGTTAGCTGGTCTATTTGTCAACGGGAAGGTAAAACTAGCATTGCGTATATTCAAAGATATGCGAGAGACTAGGAATGATATTGATATTATTACATATACCATCGTTATACATGGGATGTGCAAGGCTTATATGGTGGAGGAAGCATATGCATTGTTCTGCAGCCTCGGCTCCAACGGAGTGGAGCCTGATGGTCAAGCATACACGATAATGATCTCAGGATTGTCCCGGAGCGGCTTGCGGGCCAAAGCGGATGCGCTGAGGAGGTCTCTCGGGAAATACAAGCGTAACAGATGAAGAATCTTTAGAGATTTCTCGTGAGAGACATTTACGGACTCGGATCTCGTAAGATGTCTCTCTCCGTGCTCCCTCCTATGGGATGACTGCTCCTGGCAAGAGCAACATGGATCTGTTATGGGTGCAAGTGTATCAAAGAATACAACAATTGTGGCCCGAGGATTCAAAAGCCATGAGCTGAACAGAATCCAGCTTGGTGTTTTCAAAATCCATACAACATGGTCTCTGAAACCATAAAGAATCCTGAAGCATTCGGTTAGTTATATAATAAGTCTTCTTGTATCCTCGGCTAAGGTTTTTATGAGTGTGTCAACTACTCTTATATCAAGGAATTTTCTGATTTTGTTCTTAATCCTCTTGCAGGTTTCCAGAGTGCAACGGGATACTAGGAGGAGATGAGCTACTTGGCTGATAGAATGAAGCCTTTCACATGTTCAGATGCAAGCACATATGTGTATTTTGGAGCTTATCATACCAAGCCATACCACAAACAGATTGCTTAAACCCATACATTTTTTCTTCTACTAACTCTTTTTCTGTGTTGTCTTACAATTTCGTGTATCAATGAATCAATGATCAGTCAGGTTGCTTGGTCTTTTTTTTTAACCGAGCTTCCGGAATGTTGTAAAACAACCATTTTCTCACTAATATGTTTGTGTAACTACTTAAAGATTGCTATTTTGATGTTTACAAAAGAATGCAAAAATGGAATTGGATCCAGAAATCAAAAGAGCCAAGACAACTTTTATTTTAACTTAATTTAAATAATACGGCAGTTTTTCTCTATGCACTCCAGAAGAGAGATGAAAAGAAACCAAACGACCCAAAGAAGCCAATGTTGAAGTCTATTACAGCCTTACATTCTCAGACAAAATCTACTTCGGTTCTTTGGGGAAATGCAATTTGATCAGAGAAGGAAGCTCCGCAAGCTCCACTCGCTTCTTCCCAAGCAAAATGCCCTTCAGCTTTTCATCACAGTTCACCACATTCTTGTTCTTAGGATCCTTCAAGAAACAAAAAAAACCAATCTCAGTCAATGAGATATCTTTAGCAAATAACTAAATGATCCCTTGTTCTCACCTGAAGATTGTTGGTCTTGATATACGACCAGACACGTATGAAACAACCCAGACGGGATATCTGAGATTGACCAAGGAAGTCACGTAGAGTAGATGGAAGATTCACGAGGTCAATCAAATTCCCAAGCTTCTTAGGATTATCCGTTATCGCCTTCTTCAACCTCTGCGGCAGCATCTTGACTCTGAACAAGAAAAAATCCAACAGGTGCGTCAAATATCTAATCAACACTAACGTCTATTGGGCAAAATAAAAACGTTCTTAACCACAAAATCCCTTTGGGGAATTTTTTTTTCTTTTTTGTTTCTTTTGGGGAATTTCATCGAGCATATGGCCTGCAAAATGATAGAAAACGAACCTTTAATAGAACTTGCCTCGGAGATGGTATTGCAGACTGAAAGCAACAAGTCAGTGTATAAGAAAGTGAAGCTTTTAAACCGTAACAGTCGCAGTTTTAACGCGTTGGCCTTGGAGATTATCTCGCGTTCTAAACGCTGGAGCTGTGATAGAAAAAAGCTAAAGACCAGAGAAGAAGCTCCCAAGAAGTACAAATTCATCATACCTTCTAACAAAGGAAGAGGGTTTTATCGAACACTTGCTTATTGGGCTATTTGACATCATTGGGCCGAGATATATATCCTCCAACCGTCGGATTGATTTTAAATAATGGTAGATCCATTTTGTAATGCAAATAATTTATTTCATTTTTAGTTTCTTCAAATCTTAGGTTAACAATAATATTCTTTGCCGAAAAGAGATTAACAATACGTATGATCTTCTGAGTCCATCCATATCTTGAAAATCTCAATAATTATACACCCAATTCCATTGCCAATCTATAGCATGCATAGGAATGTATGATCAATTTTCGCAGGATGTCTGTTTCGCCATTGCAGATTCAGACAAGACAACAACTGTTCAATCTCTAATATCGCATTTAAAACCATGCGGTATGTCAGAAACCAAGAATGTATGAAGGTTTTCTATGTACAAGTACGAATAACCTAATTGCCTAATTTACATGATACGAATATATGTACATATACATAAAAGGTATGTAAGGTATTGTGCATATATCTCAACACAGTACGTAAGATATGTAATCCGTCCGTATAAGAAAACATCTTCACCGCACGTTAAAAACCTAAATATACATAAGTCATCGATCATCACCATACAGTAGACAACGTTAGATTTTTAAATACTGTCAAGACTTAAGAAGAGTGGTGAGACCTAGAAGAAAATGGGAATCTTCAATTAGCGGGAATTGCACAAAAAATTCGAAACCAAAAAAATGGCGTCAACTGATGACGACGTCCGCCGTTTTCTCTCTCTCATCGAATCTTCCCACGCCGGCGATGTCTCCGACTCCGTCTCCAAGTACCTTCGAACTTTCAATGCTCCATCATCGACTTCCCGGAAACAAGACCGAATGCAATTCCCAGATTTCCTCACCAAATCGATCTCGCTCTTACACCAACGCCTCTCCGTCGCGAGTCCTGACGAGGAAGCTTGTGTGTCGGCAAGAGATCTGTTCCGTGCGTATGAACTCTGCTTGGATTGCCTTGAACCGGTCGTCGAACAGTTAACCTGCAAGCTTCTGAGGCTGCAAATGATTTCCTGTCTCGATGCTTGGGGTTTCTACGAGAGTGTAAATACACAAGTGTTAAAGTTTCTGGAGACGCTAAGAGGCTCCGATGTTAGCTCCGGGAAGGGCCGGTTGTTGCCGGAGGTCCAGGACGGAGAGGCGGAGCAGGCAGTGGTAATAGTAAGGGCTGTGGCGGCTATCTTGAAGGCTGTGGCAAAGGGTCAGCAAACAGATGATAAGCCGTACAGAAATGTCCTTGTCTTGCTGGAGCACGTCAGAGCCTGGTTTAGGTCAGTGTGGGATTAACTTTCTTCTTTGATTAGAGAGATCAATGCCTTCTTTCAAGATATGCACAGACTCATGAAGTTTTGATACCGTGCAGGGTCTTAGATGCCCATGCGTATAGCTACGAGGAGTTGCACAGAGTGATCCTAACAAATCTGGCTAAATGTGCTCTTTCTCTGGTTAAAGAAGCTGAGCGTTTTGATGTGGAGTTCGTGCGTTCTTTCTGCGACTCAACTGCGAAGGAACACTTTAGATCTACATTCTCAAAAGATGGAATTTATAAGGTGACTTTCTTTCCTTTGATGTCTTCCCCTTCTTGCTTCTGCTCTTCTTTTACACATGCTGTCATCTAAAATAAGATAATCAAACCCCAATGCCCGTTTCCAGTTTGCTCGTGAGGTGCTTTCTGTTCTGTTCAGAATTAAGGGTAGAAGAATGTCAGTGACCATTGACATTTCAATGTCTTTGTTGCGCATCTTCGTGGTAAGCCTTGCGTCACCGTTATTATTTCGACGATTTATATTCTGGTGTCACCTGTTGCCTTTTGGTTTCTGCTACCTTCTCAGTCTCTACCGCAAACTTGCAAATGTTTGATAACATTCTGCTCCTTTTTCAGGTTGAAACTAATGAGGATTTAGTGGATTTTGCTGACCTAGTCTCTTATTACGCTAAAGAGTTTAAAGCAGCAGGAGCCATGTACTGTGCAGAAGCTTCAAACAAATTCAGTGAGATGGCAGCTATTTTCTCAGAGGTATTTCTACTCTCCTTGGCATGTAAACCGGCCCCGTCTTATTCAGGTAGTATAGGTTAATTTGCAAATTTACTGTTTGGCAGGCAATACCACAACTCAATCTGATTCTTCGACTTTATTCGTCCGGGATGTCCATCACGGTTCACGATTCCAAGCTTGGAGAAAGCAAGTTTCAAGCTTTGCTTGATGATGTGGCTAGATGGCAAAGCTTAGTATCTCTACTTGGTATGGTTGTTAGTTACTCAGGTCATGTGGGCAATCAGACTATTGATTCATTGATTGGCGGACATAAGAACTGCAACGATAGCTGTGCAAACAGAAACAACAAGACTTGCTGGCCACAATGCGTAGATGCCTTGAGATGCTTGTGCGAACCGCTTGCTGTCTTGATATTCTCAGGGAGAAGAAAGATTCTGTTAAAGACAGAAACTCCCTGCGTTTCTGCTCACCTCTCTATTATCCATGATGCTTTTCTCCAGTTTTGTGACGATTCTCCCCTCCTTCAGAGGTAATGTGATCATTGTCTCTAGTACGCTATATTATTCTTTTGTGAAATCTTCTTATGTGTGTTATATGCATTTCTCTCACCTCTCCTTTGCCTACTACATTAGATGCACGTCTGACAAAGGAGGTAGGGAGACTGACGATAACAAAGCTTTGTTGAACGTGCCTATGGCTGCTTTCATTATCTCACTGAGAACCCAGCTTAAATTGGAGGTTTGGTATCTATGTGGAGTGCACACAAATCTATCTATGGCAAATATCTTGTTCAAGTTACTGAACATGTCATCATAAAAAACGTAGTGATCCGACATTTTCCTTTCCAGATCAGTGCCCATCTAGTTGAGGATGTAATTGCCAGTCCGTGGATCCGACCTCGAGAACTCAACTATCTGTCAGTGTCGCTACACAATATTGGTTTGGTTTTGTACAAAAATAAGGAGCTAACAAAGGTGGAGTACATATGCTTTTTTGGCTTCTTATAGCTTTTCTATGCAAACAAGCATGAAGATTGGATAAAAACATTCTGTGGACTCGTGCATCTAATATAATTTCTTCTTTTTTCTTTCTTTTGCTTAGTAGATTTTATAAAGTAAGTGTTCTACTTTGCAGGCTTGTGAGGCGCTCAAGCTGTGCTTGAAGGCATCATGGAGATATGTTGAACAATCTACTCCATCTGATAATGAAGATGACATTATTGATTTTGTGAGGGTAACATGTAATAGGTGTGCATCCTACCTGGATATACTCAACCAATGTAGCGGTTCTAAGATTAAACAGACCATCGTGTCTATTCTAGAGGATTGGTTGTCAGCTGAGCGTCAGATTACAAGGTTACCAGGCCCTGCGGCAATTGTAAAACAGTGGGTTCAGGTAACTTTTTGATCAAGTTACCTTTTTTTTTTTGAACTTCAAGTATCTGAAAGTGTGCTATCAATCAACAGATCGAACGGGGATGTCACACAAATCTAGATGCGGATGATTCTTGTACAACTTTGTACTCATCGCTATCATCTTCTCAAAAAAAGTCAAAGCGGGGTATCGGAAAAATCCTACAGCAGGTTGGGATCCTAACAACAACCTTTTCAGTTACTGTTTGGATAAAGTTTGTGCATCTCCTAACTTGAAGTGCCATGTATAATTGATGCTTGCAGGAGCTTTTGGCCTATGATGAACTGTTCACTTTAGGATCAAATCTAGGCCAACAGCGAATTAAGGATGTTTATGTCACAGAGGATATGCATATAGATAGAGCAAGAATCTTAATATGGAAAGCAAGGATGAGAAGGACATCTGGAACTGAGCATCTGACTGACTGCATTCGTATTCTCTCAGAAGCAATCTCTATATTGGTATAACCTCTTACTACCTCAGCAAAATCAACATTTCTTTTTATTACTTGAAGTATCTCGTGACCAAGTTCTTGGTGTATGTAAGCAGAGTCATAGGCCAAACAAAGAGGGTGCTTCATCTTCTCACCAGTTACCTATTGCGTATTGCCTGAGAGCTTTCTGTATCCAGGAAGCTGAACCAAACTCAAAGGTGCAGCTAATTGTTAAACAAATTGATCTTTCAGTTGGTTGTTAATAAACTATTATTCTTGAAACATTCTCTTTTGTGCAGGAAGTCTTTCAAGATATTAGCACATCGCTAGATCTCTGGCTCGGAATGCCTAGCCTAGATGGTAGTGGGGACAGTCTACCAGCAGAAAACATTATTCCGTTACTTTATAATATGATCGATTTGATGTCAGTGAAGGTATATCATTTGGACTATGGTTTTTTTTTAAGTGGCATACATTATAGTGCGTGCTTCATTTCTTCTATCTGACCCTTGATACCTTTCTCCATGTACAGGGATGTACGAAGCTCCATCATCGTATATACCAACTGATTTTCAGATTATTTAAGTGGAAGCATGTCAAATTAGAGGTCTGCCTTGCAATGCTCTGGGAATGTAGAAGGCTAAGTCATGCCTTGTGCCCTTCCCCCATAAGTGATGCCTTTCTCCAGAGCTTATCAGAGAATTGTGGTGGCAAATCCACGTGCATTG